ATGAATGTAAACGGCGAAGCGAACAGTCTGTTCGGTCGTGTCGAGTGGGTGCTGCTTTTAAGCTAGTGCCGCGTTCTACAGGACGTTAAGTGAATAAAGTTAAAATCATTCACAATTACAGTAAAACGCACGCCAATAAAAACTCACTTACACGTCGTCGTTTCGAATCTGATGATCGAAAAACGCGAAGTGAAAACGTGTCTCGGTGTCGTCATTCCGTAGCATCGGATGGGCGTTGCGTGTATTTAAGCTCCCGCGGCATGACGTCTCAATCCGGGTTACGGGTTGTGGAATTTCCGCTTACGTAAGTTCCGGTAACATGTAATATCGTAGTCAAAACCTTAATGCACAGGCTTTTGTTCCGGGTGAAGGATATTCCTTTTCATAGAATTCCGGGGATGGGAATATTTACTGTACACACATATGAAACAGGCACTTGTACTCAACATGTTAAATGTAGCATGTTTCAAGTGCTTTTATTCATGATTATATATTTGATTTCATATTTAGGGCTAACCGACGAACACAAAAACTTGCTGAGATCAATTACATCAAAAGCTGCAGTTCTCACAAGCATTTATTCACATGAGGACTCCACAGATAGAAAGACTGCTTCAGAGTGCGACGACTGTCTTCCTGAGCCAGTTACAACATTGGATGAAGAGTCAGCATATGATCTAACACCTGAAGAACTTTCATCGAAAGTTGATCATACATTGCTCTGTTGTCATGGAGGCAGCTAAACATTAAAGGGTACAGTTTGATCGTCTGTAGAATAAATCATATCACATACATGTAGATAAATTTTTTTACCTGTGGGCTTTTTTTTTTTTGTTTTGTTATTACCAAATGAGTGGACATTATTTTTCAGACGACTTACAAGTTACTGAAGGCTCAGTAAACCTTCTGCAACTGTAATAGTGTCTTCATGGTTGGCGCTGATATCTGTGGGAAAAAATATATGTATATTTATATATATGCTTGTGTGTGTTTCTAAACTCATGCATCTCTACAAGTTTTTCAATTTGGTGTTCATACATCAGTCTATACTGTATTTTTCTTGTGATAAATTCATTTTAAAGACAAACTATAATTCAGCTGGGTTTTATAGTTTTACCTTGCAAGTTTTGAGTGTCCACTTGGTGAAACAGTTGCTGTATACAAAAATACAGATGGAACGAAATCTGGACTACCAAGTTCCAGTGGTGCTTTTCCTGTAAAATTTAAATTAAATTTCAGGATTTACACACACACACACACACACACACACACACACACACACACACACACACACACACACACACACACACACACACACACACACACACACACACACACACACACACACACACACATCTGTGTGTGTTGTGATTGTGAAGCATGTTTTTATCATTTGGCATTAGTATGGCTGTATGTTTGTGCTTAACATGTGCATGAAGCTTTGAAGAGTTACTTCCCACACAAATTGTAAACATGTTTGACTGTAAAGACGACATGTCACCTGCTTCACTCATGTTATACTTAATTATTTTCACTCATTTGTTACTTTCACTAACTGAACATTATTCTGGGCTTTCACAACATAGAATATCATTTGACGTGGTAGATCTAATTCCCAAGTACTTACCAGATATGAAGTGAGCACTGCAAAGACGAGCATTCTTAATAGCCTCCTCAGTCCAAATCTCACGTCATAAAGCATGGAACAATAACTTTCGCAATTTTTTCTGAAAGGGGTATTTACCAGCAGGAATTCTATAAAAGACTAGATCTTTGTGTGTGCTCTTTCTATTCTGACAACCCACGGTACAGCATGAGTACGGCATTACTCACACGATTTTGTTCTGTAAAGCGTGTTTTCTGCCTCCGAGATGCGCGCGCAGCCAGACTTAATGTATGCATACCTAACATGAAACTGGTCTGTGGATGCTCCTGGATCTAAGCGCTGCTTCTGACACAGTAGATTATCATATTATATTAAACGGACTTGAAAACATGGTGGGCATCACTGGTGCTGATTTTAGCGGGTTTCATTCCAATCTCGCAGACAGAAGTTATTTTGTAAGTTTGGATACTTGTTTCTCCAGAGTCCATGAAATTAAATGTGGGGTTACACAAGGTTCAATTTGTGGCCCAATACTTTTTCATCTTTACATGCTTCCCCTTGAGGAATTCATCAAGAGTCACGGCATCAGATTCCACAGCTATGCTTATGATACACAGCTGAATATTGTCATGTCTCCTGACAACACAGGGCCTATTCATACACTTTTAAATTGTATTTTGGATCTTAAGTCAACGATGGCAGAGAATTTCCCACAGTTCAATCAGAACAACGAGGTTTTCGTTATTGGCCCTGACAGAAGCGATTACTCTAAGACTGCAAGAGAAGCTCAGCTTCCCCTAAAATGTCAAAAAATAAGTGATCAAATATATGTGTGTACATACAATTGTGTGTACATGTCATTGACTAAATATGCGCTACAAGGCGCTCAACTTCTGTTCCGAATCACAGCTTCTTACTACTGGTTACGAGGCGACTCTCTTCTCATTCATTCCCGCAGCTTCACTGTGCTTTCAACTGTGTGGATGCTGAGCGTCTAGAGCGCGGACGCTGGGTACCTCGAGAGTAGTCCCAATGCATTGAAACAAGACGAGTCATTGGATAAATGCTGGTTTTGTCCCGCCCATTGGACGCTCAGCGTCTCTGGGAGTCTATGGACAGTGGGCGTTTATGGGCTGACCCGGACGCTCAGCTTTTCTGCATGATAATTGGATGATCTGTCTGAGGCTGAATCATTTTTTGATTGACAGCGAAATGAGCCAATCACCGAACTTTTGGTGTCGGCATCCGTGGGAGCATTTTTCAAATCTCATTCTGTTCTGAGTTGAACTGGAGACTTCTTCTAATCATCTTAGCGACACTCTCTTTGTTGAAAACGACTAGCGACAGATGCTTGTGTTCGCAGACTGACGAATATCACCACAGATAAGACCCTGGAAAAGACGCCTTGTTGGTGTGACAGGATCACAGATCATTGTCTTGAAAAGGAACGGAGAGTAGAATTCATAAATAAACGGACACATTTTATGATGTAGGCCGAAATTGAGCTTCTCCTCCTTGACGGACCAGCATCCGCCACTGGGCCCTGACGATCAGAGAAAGAAACTTTTACCCAAACTACAGGATCCTAATAATGCAGCTCCGAAACAAAGAAGGCTGTGGTGTTTTGTTTTGTTTTTTTGTTTTTGTTTTTTTTAACGTACACTTTATTCATTCTGTGAACACTCTCAAACAAATACAGACATATCTCTGTCCGATTCCGTGTCTTCTCTTCTGCGGTTCGGCTCGAGAGGCGTTCATAGACCGTCTCCGAAAAACGGAAATGAACGATAACTTAAATGACACTAAGAAAATCGAAAATAATGCACCAAAACAGAAAATCCAGCGAGGAAATCGCAACATAAATTCTATGGGGGGGGGGGGGGGTTTGTAAACTCACAATAAAGGAATAAATGACATACAATCCTGAAATAGTCCAGTCTCCTACATTAACCCACACAATGTGTGAAGAACTTGGCTGTCAGTTTTGACTCTGTGCTTCGTTTTCTTCCTCATTTTAAAAATATAACTAAGATTGTTTTTCATCACCTCAAGTATATAGCCAGAGTCCGCCCCTTTTTTTCTCAGGCCAACATGGAAGTGCTGATGCATGCTTTTATTTCCTGTTGCTTGGATTATTGCAATGCTCTGCTCTCCGGTCTTACTGAAAAGACCAAGATTACAGCTTCTCCAAAACTCAGCTGCACGCCTCCTGACAAGGACTAGAGGGCGTGAACACATTACACCAGCTTTAAAATTGCTGCATTGGCTCCCCGTGTGTTTTTGGATTGATTTTAATGTCCTGATTTTAGTTTGTAAATGTCTTAACGTTTTTGGGCCATGTTATATATCTGACCAGCGATTAGCATATTAACCATGGTGGAACCCAAGGTCTTCTGGCAGTGGCCTTTAAGTGATTTCCGGGGGTGAGGACCAAAACACATTATGAGGCGGCATTCAGCTATGTTGGTTCCCAGCGATGGAATTGCCTGCCAGAAAACATCTGGTCAGCAGAGACTGTTGATGCTTTTAAGAGGAGGCTTAAGGCAATTCTTTCAGCTTGGCTTTTGAAGAATTTATTTAGGTATTTATTTTTAATTTCTTAATTTAATATGTTTTTTAAAAATAAATTTTATTTATTGACTTTTTGTCTCTTTTTGAAGAGCCAGTGTTTCTTCGTGGGGATTCTCCACGCTGGGAGGTGTGGTTGCTGTCACTCACTGTGGATCAGCACCCCCACCCCTTGGGTGCCTTTTATTATCTCATATGGTTTCTCTGTGCCTTGCCATGTCTTTTTTTATATATCAGTGTGTGTGTGTGTGTGTGTGTGTGTGTGTGTGTGTGTGTGTGCGTGTGCGCGCGCGCGCGCGTGGGTGCGCGCGCGTCACCTCACCGTTTCGTCCTGCAACTAGTTTGTCTGAAATGTTTTGCCGTACATCGTCACAGCGGCCTAACCGTCCTCAGAACAAACTATTTATACGCACTTCACTAAAAGAACAAAAAAACTTGAACCTTTGAAAAATACCATCTCATTTTTTTTAGTTACAACTGAACAGACCGAAGTCTCGATGCAGTAAGTCCATTATTCCTCTATTGGACAACATCATTCGCTCAAGCTTTTGGGCCTTCGTTAGCTTACTTAGCCTAGCAAGCTAGCCGCTGACAACCGAGCTAGATCAAGCGCGAGTATGAAGTGTTGTCATGAATTGTGTGAAAATGTGTGCAGGAGGACATCAGATTACGAGGATGATTTCCTTGGCACAAAAGAGGAAGACGACACTAGTTTCGAGAAGTTTCGAGTTGGCTGGACCAGAGCAGGTTTGGTTGGCCACGTCTCATTCTTTCGATCGATTGCAATGTCCACCAACCGTTTTGAAAGTGAGAGCTACTTTTTTTGTCGCTGATCAACGCTACCACTTTCAGACACAATTCTGCAAGAACACATTTGATCTGACTACGTTTGAATCGTGTTGTAATTATGTCTCTTCACACCTGAAAGGTTATCAAGGTGGGTGCTGGTTAGACACTGTCTTCTTCTTCTTCTCCTTTCGGCTTGTCCCTTTTCAGGGGTTGCCACAGCGAGTCATTAATTTCCATCTTTCCCTGTTCTCTGCATCCTCTACTCTAGCTTCAACAACCTGCATGTCTTCCCTCACGGCATCCATGAATCTCCTCTTTGGCCTTCCTCTCTGTCTCCTACCTAGTAGCTCCATCTCTAACATTCTCCTGCCAATGTATCTATTGTCCCTCCTCTGTACATGTCCAAACCATCTCAGTCTGGCCTCTCTAACTTTTTCTCCAAACTTTCCTGTCTGAGTTGTCCCTCTGATGACCTCATTTCTGATCCTGTCCATCCTTGTCACTCCTAAGGAGAATCTCAGCATCTTTAACTCAGCCACCTCTAGCTCTGCCTCCTGTCTTTTGCCTATTGCTAGTGTCTCTAGACCAGTGTTTTTCAACCCGTGTGCCGCGAGACATTGTCAGGTGTGCCGCGGAAAATATCCAATTTAGATGCCTGTGAGGTCTTTTGCCCAGAAAGTAATCATGTAGTACCCTCCCATACCGCTAGGGAGCAGCAACAGCTTGCCAATTGTCTTGTGTTTCGACGAGAGACAAGCGGATTTGTGACGCATGAATGCAGGATGACGGTGAAACAATAAATATGAAAGATGATAAAATATTGTTTTCTTTGTGTTCATTTGATTCCAATTCAAGCTGTTACAACGTCATTCTTCAATGTTAAAAACGGTTATAGTAACAATATAACACGTTAATTGGTAAAATAAGTGGGGGGGGTGTCACATTTTCAGCTAGTGGTGTGTGCCGCGAGATTTTTTTCAATGAAAGAACTGTGCCTTGGCTCAAAAAAGTTTGAAAAACACTGCTCTAGACCGTACATCATGGCTGGTCTCACAACTGTCCTGTAAACTTTTCCCTTCACCTTAGCTGACACTCTTCTATCACAAATCACTCCTGACACTTTTCTCCAGCTGTTCCATCCTGCCTGCACTCTAGTCTTCACTTCTCTTCCACAGTCTCCGCTGCTCTGCACTGTTGATCCTAGGTACTTAAATTCCTGTACCTTCGCCACCTCTGCTCCCTGTAGCCTCACCGTTCCACTGGTCTCCCTTTCATTCATGCACATGTACTCTGTCTTACTACGACTGACCTTCATTCCTCTTCTCTCTAGTGCAAACCTCCACCTGCTGGTTAGACACTGTGCTGCCAACTAATTCCAGTCTGACAAATATCAAAATAATTTGTGATTCAGGATCTTTGTGCTGTTTTTTTAAACTTAACAAGAAAGTAGAGCTACAATTTGCAGGATTACTTTATTCCATTTTTGAAAATTTGAACACTTCTCATGATGAGCTTGACAACCAGCAAAATTGGATGACCTGGAACCTCCGCAATATGTGTATGTATGTATGTATGTATGTATGTATCTCTCTCTCTCTCTCTCTCTCTCAATGTCTTCTTTGTCATCTTATGACTTCATAAGTGGTTTTCTACTCATCTTAAATGTTCATTCCAACATTGTGTAGCTTGTCTGCCATTTTAGTGTCTTTGTGATACTTGACCACAAGGCCACCACAGAAAAGGTACCAGAGATGCCAATCAGGAGAACTGTGATTTAAAAACCATGGAAGTACAGTAGAAATGTAGCGGGTCAGTGTCCTGAGTCACAGTACAATATGGTGACAAACATCCAGTATACAATATCCTTTTGCAATAATAAATGCTTCAAGCGAGGTTAACGTTCCTTGTTAAGCCTCCCTCTGTTCCTGAATTGTTCGACTTTTTTAATTACATGTCAAAGTCGACACGTGGTAACCGACGCGAGTGGTTGAGCAGACAGCCTAGCTGGAAAGTGAGTTATCTCTTTTTGTGGATTTGTGCATCAGGGTCATCATTTAGTGAATCAGGATGACTACTGTTAATGACACTGAATATGTATGAATGTGTATTTGGTGACACCACCTCTGAAGTTTAGTAGGTAACATGCTTGTCTGGCACAGAACCACGCACACATGCTATACACTTGCTCCGAGTCTGGAAGTCATTGGTGGTGCAGAGCAGAGCAACAAATGAGCTAATTGTACTGAAAATGATTTATCCTGCGCTGAGGCCTGTACAGCCAGTGTTTAATTCAGCTGCTGCTATTAGAAACACATTGACGTTCAGCTTTGATGGTGACGTTAAAGAAGCCTGGAAAGTGCTCTGTTTGTAAAAAAAAAAAAAAAAGGATTTTGTGTGTGTGTGTGTGTGTGTGTGTGTGTGTGTGTGTGTGTATCTATATATCTCTCTATATATCTATATCTATATATCTATATCTATATCTATCTATATATATATAGATATATATACATATATCTATATATATGTAAAATAAAAAAAAAACCCTCGTCTCACCCCTCAGGTGGTGTCCATCCCTCATTCAGCTTGGGTCCTCTACCAGAGGCCAGGAAGCTTGAGGGTTCTGCGCAGTCCTTGCTGTTCCCAGCACTGCACATTGAGTTGTTGTTGAGCACAAAAATCCAGTAGCCCTAAGCCTTTAGCATTTAGACACCCAACTACTTCCCTCCCAAACATCATGGTTGTTCCCAACTCAAGCGTTGAAATCCCCGCGTTGAGGAGTATTTAGTCATTCTTGTGGATTTTGAGGAGGATATCATCCACCGGTTGGGACTCTATTCCGAAGAAATATGTGAGTCACACCTAAGGAACTATATCTGCATTGTGTGTCTGTTGAACAGAAATTCGCCCGATCCTGCTCAGGAGAGCCAAGGTGAGGGTTACAGCAAGTCCATGATCCAGGCCCTGTCAGCCGTGTGTGTTCGCACTCCTCATTATGGCACCAGGTTGGTTACTAACCCCAAATATCAAGCATCCCCCTTGCTAAGGCTCAGGTGCAAACGAAGTCTCTGCCCTGTTCCGTTTTTGTGTATGTATTGTCATATTGTTTGTTCTTTCAGGACCAATACAATTATCCTGATCGATGCAGAGGGGAACGTGACCTTCACAGAGCGCACCATGCTCAATTGTGATACAAACAACTGGTGCACAAATTCTTTCCAATTCAAGCTGCAGACATGAAGATGTAATGAAAGAAACTCACTTTGTGCCTAATAGATTCTACTTCTTGCATTATCATCACCAAATCATCATTTTGTATTAAAGCTTCCTGTCACCATAGCAACTAATTGTAGCGTTTTGGACTCAACCCAGCAGCAGCTACTACCACAATTATTCCGTTTTTATTTTTGACTAAGGTGTAAATTATATCTGAAGATTATTTAATGTTTTTTTTTTTTTGATTAAAATGATTTTAAACATTGGAAATGTGTTGCAGTGTCAACTGCTGCCAGCAGCAATCAGTTAATCAGTCATGTAACATTTCAAAGACGTAACTCCATTTTTCTTTTACCGGTAAATCCAATTTCATTGTCCTTTGAGTTATCTGCGATTTATACATCTGTTGAGAGATAAAGGAAAGCAGTTTATCATGTTTGTGTTTTCTTTGCAACTCTTATAAGCTATTGATCCCCTTACTTCAAATTCAGTCACAGGTCTGCTTTGGAGAGGGGGGGTATATATATAGAGAGAGAGAAAGAGAGAGAGAGATACATATACACACACATATATGTGTGCGTGTATATACATTGAACCCCCCTTTCTGAGTTTGAACTGCCTTTCTGAGTTTAGGTAGATTGTTTCTGTACGTGCTCTTGAAAACTTTGTGTGGCAGAACAGTGACATCGGCGCCTGTATCGATTTTGAACATTACACTGCACTGATTAATGTCGATTTTGACCATCCACGGGTCACGGTATGTCGTAACACTGTCTCGGAGGACCTCCTCCTTTTTCTCGTCTTCTTCGTCCCCTTTAACTTTGGGCGCAGATTTAAACTTTAACACACGCTTAAAATGTCCCTTCCTCCCGCAAGCATGACATTTTGCCTCATGAGCGGGACAATCAAATTTTGGATGGGATGGAGAGCTGCCACATTTCTGACACACTGACTGTGCACCCCTTTCCTTGCTGTCGTGAGTGCTGTGTGACGTGTTTATCTGGCCATTAGCATAGTTAGGTGTGTTTTTAGCATTCCTTGAATTGCTCTTGAACACTCTGTCAACCGATTCAGCGCCACTTGCCTCTGAGTTGGTGTCCCCTCGCAGATAAGACTGCTGCCTCTTCACCTCCTTGCTTTGCCGTGCTATTCTTATGGCCTTTTCAAGGGTCAGATCCGCGTCCAACTACATGCATTCAGACAATCCACTGTCTCGTAGTCCGACGACAATTCTGTCTCTGATCAGTTCATTGCGTAGCGCCCCGTAGCTACAATGCTCTGCCAGCGCATATAGTGCAGTGACGAACGAATCCACACTCTCCCCTTCCTTCTGATAGTGCATATTGAATATAGCGTGCTCGAAGATGACGTTTTTCTTGACAACGAAGAACTTTTGGAGTCCCCCTCGCACTTCTGGGTATGTGCGCCGTTGAACCTCGGTCAGATTTAACCCGCATAGGATATCATCACCCTCATCACCCATGCAGTAAATCAGTGTGTTGACTTGATTTTCTTCAGAACTAGCATTCAGGTTAATTGCCAGGCGGAATCTTTCGAATCTCCAGATCCATTTGTCCCACTCGTGTGGTTTTGAAAAGTCAAAGGGCTCCGGTGGCTGGATGTCAAACGTGGCGCACGGCCCCGCGGTGGCGACTGATCTTGCAACCCGCTGTGCACCTTGCGCCGCGGTTCCATCTGCCCGCGCCAAGGCTCCTTCCTCTCGTCGCTCACTTCACCTTTCCCTCTTTACCGCCATATACAAAAGATCCTCTTTACGCACTCCACGTCAACTACAGGACTTCTGACATCATGTCGTGTTATCAAATGAGGCACACATGAGTCCAGCTGTTGTGTTCACGTGGGTAACATATATTTAACTTCCCGATGCGTGTATGCCTCTTTCCAGTCACTCTCTCTCGTCTCCCGCTCTCGACGCACCACCGTGACGTAATCGCCCAGTGACTTTGTTGTGTTTTTCGTACACGATTACACCACATCAGCCTATGCTAAGCAAGCCCAAACATAATGACAGCCAATCAATGTCCGCGTCAGGCTGTGACTGACCGTTGTTTCCGCACCCTCAACAACCCTAACACAGTAAGCCAACACATAAAAAGGGATATTATAAAAAGGCACTTCACCTACAGAAACAATAAAGTGAGAGATTAAAATTTTTATTAATGCGATAAAAACCTGTGTGTGTGTGTGTGTGTGTGTGTGTGTGTGCGTGTGTGCGTGTGTGTGTGTGCGCATGCGTGCGTGGCTAGCGCTCGCCATTTTGGTGTCCTGAGCATAAATGCTTTGTGGTGCCACCCCCCCACCCCTGACAGAAATGAACATTATCTGAGTATTTTTCAGTTTTGCTTTATTTTACAAAATAACTTGTTTCAAAAACGATCACAAAATAAAAGATAAATCATAATTATTAAGTCTTATATAAAACACCAGAAATGGCACCAAAAAAGTAAAAAAAAAATCAAAATTATTACATTAACTAAATAAATAAATGCCACTACTATAAACAAATAAATGTAGGCCTGTATTTAAAATACAGGTACATGAAAAGTTCAATATTCTACCTTTATAGACAAGGACTGATATGGCACAATATCAATATTCTGGACATAATGTGAAAACAGTGAAAATGAAAGGGAGAAATTTACACAGCTTGAAGATCGATTTTTTTTTTTCAACTTACAGTTTCACCAATAGATGTCACCTTTGGTTTATGAACCTCTCGAAAATGTCGGCATTTCAAACAACTTTGTCTCGTAATATTCCGTTTAATTTTCATAGCGTAATCAATGTGCAGGTCACAACTTCTCCACAACAGCATTTTGGGTTGTTGTTGGCGAGCTTGTATCACGCAATAGCCACTGGAATTTCTTGATGTACAGCAGGGTTTTTTTTTAGGCCTGGCGGAAGGCCGACTCTGAGACTAAAGAGATTTACATCATGTATTTGGAAATAAATCGAACGATTGACTGAACCATGTAAACCAGGTATTTCTGATTAGCACAAAACTAAAGTGCATCAAAACGCACCATCTTACTGTTTTTTGTCCCTTTTCCTCTTTCCTGCCCAAACTCTTGATGCGCTTACAAAATCATGTCCAGATATCCAAAAATCAACTCCTGCCAAATTTGCGATTGAAACATAATGGAAAAAACTCCTCGGGAATGGAATAGAGGGGTGTAGCAGGGCACTAGAGGTAAACCAACGAGAGGTCTGCACAGGAGGGTCATCTTTTTCTCATGTGAATAAGTTACGTTATTTTGTATTGCTGATATTTACTAACATACTGAACAAACCTTTATTAGGAATATTAGAAACTTATAATAATTCCTGTGTGTGTGTGTGTGTGTGTGTGTGTGTGTGTCTTTCTGTTGCAATTCTTGCAAGCAATTTCTTCTGCCGTGGAGAACATACACTCATATGACCGTGATGATGGTGTTTGGAAGAGGTTGTTGGAATTTGTTGGGATAGGCTGTTGCTGGCTGTTCCACTATGCCTGAGGATCTTGGTCGGTACAATATTCCCCCCTCCTAAATATCGCTGGATTTTAGCCATTGCATCTGCAGTTGCACTTCTCCCAAGTCTCCCCACTTTGCCATCTAAGTGCCGCCACAGGTCATCAAAGGAATTGCCTACTTGAGGCACGACAAACTCATAGTCCAGCCCTGCACCAGTACTCCAATTCAATAGGCTCGAGTTCAACATGCTGAGAACTGATTACCACCAGACAAAAAACTCTGACTTAACAGATATAGGAAACACACAACATAAACATGGACTTCAAAACTTTTGATTATGCTGACCACAAGACATTCGACCCTGAAAACAACTTGGACCCAGACAATATTTTCTTCAATCATAATCACAGCATCACAAACTCCAAATATTATACGGACGAACAATTCAACACAAATGTAGAACTGAATAATACACTTTCAGTGATACACTTAAACAGTAGAAGTCTTTATCAAAATTTCACCAAAATCAAAGAATATTTGACTAAATTCAATAAATTTACAATAATTGCCATATCAAAAACTTGGCTAGGACACCGGGATCTTGTCTTGACACATTTAATAAAAAACTGACAAGATATGCGAAGATGTTCTAATGATAAGAAAACACGAATATGTGGCGACTTTAACATAGACTTATGAAACCCAAATGGACATAAAAAAACAACAGATTTCATAAATACAATGTATAGCAACAGTCTTTTCCCAGTCATTCTGAAACCCAGTAGAATAACAGTTGATACGGCCACATTAATAGATAATATATTTATAAATATAATGAAATATAACATAATGAAATATTAAATATTGTAAAAACATTTAAAAGTAAAAAGTCAACTGATTGCCTTAATGTTGATATGACAATAGTGAAACAGATTATAGAACTTGTAGTGCGACCTTTTACATACATATGCAACCTGTCATTCACAGCCGGTATTTTTCCATCAAAAATGAAAACAGCTAAAGTCATTCCAATTTTTAAAAGTGGAGAAAGACAATTATTTACAAATTATAGACCAATATCACTGCTCCCACAATTCTCAAAAATATTAGAAAAACTATTTTCTCGCAGACTTGATAACTTCATACATAAACACGTGCTATTAAGTGAAAATCAATATAGTTTCAGAGAAAAACGGACCACATCAATGGCAGGAATGGAGCTTGTGGAAGCAATAGCCACTAATATAGACAACAAAGAATTCACTGTTGGGATTTTTCTAGATCTAAAAAAAGCTTTTGATACAATAGATCATAGTATATTATTGAATAAATTCGAGAGATATGGTATTAGAGGCATAGCATATAAATGGATTGAAAGTCATTTAGAAAACAGATACCAGTATATGCAGTTCAATAACAAAAAATCTAACCTACTGAGGATTACTCATGGAGTTCCTCAGGGATCAGTGCTTGGACCAAAACTATTCATCTTATATATAAATGATATCTGTAGTGTCTCAAAACAATTCAAATGTGTCCTATTCGCCGATGATACAACCTTCTACTGCTCTGGAGAAAATATGAAACAACTCCTGAAAACTGTGGAAAATGAATCACTATATTACTCATTATTACTCCCATATATGACCTACTGTGTGGAAATATGGGGGAACGCCTGTAAATCAAACACACTCCCTGTCTTAAAACTACAAAAAAAAAGCAATCAGAATAATCAATAGGTCCAAATATATAGAACCCACAAATCCGCTATTCATCAAATTAAACACAATGAAATTCTATGAGCTGGTTAACTTCAAAATCGCCCAATTAATGTATAAAGCACATAATAATCTCCTTTGCCAAAATATCCAGAAGCTTTTTGAAATTAGAGATAGTTGTTGTAATTTATATATATTTATATAATATATATAATTTATAAATAATAATTTAAGGGGGACTAACCAATACAAAAAATCCAAAACAAGAACAAACATCAAACAAAGGTGTTTATCAGTAATAGGTGTCAATCTGTGGAATAATTTTAAAACGGACCTGAAAATGAGTAAATCGCTGGTTGAGTTCAAAAACAAATTCAAAAGATTAATACAAAAAAACTGCACACATCAGAGTTAAGAAGATAAATTTGATATACTTATAAAATATAGTAATTCAACAGAATTACATTGATCAATTTATTAAATATATTCAAGAAATGCAGTATTTATAATGAATATGAGAAAATTGATATATAAAGACGAAAGAATGAGTATATATGTATACAAACCGAAAGGTGTATAAATATATAAGTACAGTACACATAAGGGTAAAAGGATTTGATATGTAGATTTTTTTCTTTTGTTCTTTGTATTGAAAAAGATCAATTCATATACTGCTACATAACAAGGGGTAGGACTAGATAAGTTATTTACTTCTTCCTACTCCTTTGAACATAAAACTGATGATGTCTGTCTTTATTTTTTTCTTTTTATAATTTTTACTTGCCTTCACTTTTGACAATCTGTTATTGTGTTGTATGTTCTATATGTTCAATAAACAAACAAACAAAAGGAAAACAACAACAACCATTTGTTTGATGGTCAGAAAATTAAACCAAAATCAAATTGATACATTTAGATTTCAGATGAAAGAAATTGCTCATATTAATGACTGCTTTATGTAACTTGCACAAGAGGCTTTCTTGTTGGCCAAACATATGTGGGTTGAAGGAGCTGAATCACTTTCTTGAACCCTATATACTCTACAATGCATAGGGGCTGCCAGTCCAAGGTAGAATTTGCGCTTTGGACTTTGGACTCAAAAATGTGCAATGTCAGACTGAGTCTGAGTCCGAACCACAAATAACCATGGATAAAAACAATTAATTACAAAAAAATCATTACCAAGGATGAAAATTTAAAAAATCCAACACCAATAACTGAAACTGCTCATGTGACATAGTGAGTAATAATCTGAACTCGTCTGACTCTCCTAATAACCTTCATTGTAATTATAAACCATAATTCCAATTGTGTTTGTCTTCTCGTGTCTTGCAGACATCAGCAAAGAAGCTTCTCCTGAGCGGCTGGATGCAAAACCCCCTCATATTAAAGAGGAAGAGGAGAGCAGAGAAGTCTCCCGCTTTAAAGAGGAAGAAGAGCAGCAGGCCCCTTACATTAAAAGAGAGGAGGAGCCAGAGCACCCTTGCATGAAACATAGTCACAACATATCATCAAACGTTGATGATGATGAGGAGGAGGAGGAGGAGGATGAAGAGTCTGATGGTGATCAGACATGTCACACTGACAACAAACCATGGAAATGTTCTCAGTGTGGGAAGACGTTTCCTTATGAGAGTCCTTTCAAAAGACACATGAGAACTCACACTGGCGAGAAACCATTCACCTGTTCAGACTGTGGCCAAAGATTCTCTCAGAGGGGAAACTTAAAAGTACACTCAAGAACCCACACTGGTGAGAAACCTTTTGACTGCTTAGTTTGTGGCCAAAGATTTTCTGTGAAGCATCACTTAAAATTACACTCAAGAACGCATACTGGTGAGAAACCTTTTGCCTGCTCAGTTTGTGGCCGACGATTCTCTGAGAAGGGACACTTAAAAAGCCACACAAGAACACACACTGGTGAGAAACCTTTTGCCTGCTCAGTTTGTGGCCGACGATTCTCTGAGAAGGGACACTTAAAAAGCCACACAAGAACACACACTGGTGAGAAACCTTTTGCCTGTTTAGTTTGTGGCCAAAGATTCTCTCGGAAGCCTCACTTAGAATTACACTCAAGAACCCACACTGGTGAGAAAGATTTTTACTGTTCGGAGTGTGGCCAAAGATTTTCTTGTAAGGGAAATTTAGTATGTCACAAAAGAACCCACACCGGTGAGAAACCCTTTTTGTGCTCAGTTTGTGGCCAAAGATTCTCTCAGAGGGGAAACTTAAAAGTACACTCAAGAACCCACACTGGTGAGAAACCTTTTGCCTGCTCAGATTGTGGCCGTAGATTCTCTCAGAAGGAAAGCTTAAAAAAGCACGTCAGAACTCACACTGGTGAGAAACCTTTTGCCTGTTCAGATTGTGGCCAAAGATTTTCTCAGAAGCAACACTTAAAAACACACTCAATAACCCACACCGGTGAGAAATCTTCTGCCTCTTCAGATTCTGGCCAAAGATTCGCTCAGAAAAGAAACTTAAAAATACACATCAGAAAGCACACTGGTGAGAAACCTTTTGCACGGCCCGACTGTGACCGGACATCCTTTTTTAAGGGACATTTAGGAAGACACAAAAGGATCCACGCTGGCGAGAAACCCTTTTCGTGCTCAGTTTGTGGCCAAAGATTTTCGTGGAAGCCTCAGATGAAAAATCACAAGTGTGTTGATGAGATGAACAGTTCTCAATGACATTTTCACCTCTCATCTTGGCCGGCTTCATAAGTTCATGCACCAAGACCAAATGCATTTGATGTACTTTTCCACACTGAAAAGTTTTTTTGATTGTTTTGGTAGTCATTAATTACAAAATCCATCATTGTTATCGGTGTTATAATAGTATTCCTGGTTGACAGAACAGTCACACAAGACTGCAGGTCCCGACATAGCAACCTGTGCACAGCCTGGATTGATAACAAGAACGCCTATGACTCGATGTCACACACATGGATCACTGAATGCTTGAAGTTGTATAAGGTGAACAGGTTGCTAAGAGCCTTTGTTGCGAACTCAATGAGCATGTGGAAAACCACACTTGAAGCCAATGACAAGCCGCTTATCCAAGTGTCCATCAAATGTGGCATCTACCACTGCTGTTCTGCATAGGACTGAGCCCTCAAAGCCAAGTAGGACTGAACCCCTGAAGCCAAGTAATCCCCAAGACTGGCAATGGATACCTCCTCAGAAATGGAGCTATGATAAGTCACCTCCGATACATGGATGACGTAAAGCTGTAAGCTAAGAGCGAAAGAGACATAGACTCCCTGATCCACACAACCAAGGTCTACAGCAGTGACATCGGGATCTCAATCAGGCTTGATTAATGTAGTCGGATGGTGACTAAGAGAGGCGAGGTAGTCCACACTGAAGGGGTCTCACTCTCTGAAGGAACAATAGCAGACATTGAGGACAGCTACAAGCCAAAGCGGCTTTGGCAAAATACCTCCAGCGGGTGAGGCAAGTCCTAAGAAGCCAGCTCAATGGCAAGAACAAGACCAGGGCAATCAACAGCTATGCCCTGCCAGTGATCAGATACCCTGCAGGAATAATAAGGTGGTCAAAGGAAGAGATTCAGACCACTTATGTTAAGACCCGAAAGCTCCTAACCATGCATGGAGTGTTCCATCCCAAATCCAGCAACCTGAGACTGTATGCAAGCCATAAGGAAGGAGGCTGGGGACGAGTGAGTGTGAGAGCCACTGTCCAGGATGAAACATCCAAGCTCCTTGAATACATCAAAGAAAAGGCTTCAACGGATGACGTACTCAGAGAATGTCTCAGACAATGGGGAACAGAGGATGATGTGCTGGAAGAGGAACCATCATGGGAGGACAAGCCCCTACACGGGATATACCACCGTACCATGACTGAAGTGGCTGGCTGATCTCAAGAAGTCCTATCAGTGGCTCGAGAGGGCTGGCCTGAAGGACAGTACAGAGGCACTCATCCTGGCTGCTCAGGAGCAGGCCCAGAGCACCAGTGACATAGAGGCCCAGATTTATTTTGTGCCTGCAACACTTTGTTTTTTATTTTGTACCCTCCCCCCCATTTTTGCTGCTGTAGACTGCAAATTTCCCCAGTGTGGGACAAATAAAGGTTATCTTATCTTATATACCACACCTGACAAGACCTAAGGTGTAGGTTGTGCAAAGAGGCACCTGAGATGATCCAACACATAAGTGCAGGGTGTAAAAAGCTGGCAGGGAAAGCTGATATGGAATGCCATAACCAGGTGACTGGCATAGTCTACCGAAACATCTGTGCGGAGTATGGACTGGAAACCCCAAGGTCAAAATGGGAAACACCTTCAAAGGTGGGGGAGACTGACTGAGCAAAGATCCGGTGGGACTTCCAGATACAGACTGACAAGATAATGGCGAATGGTAATGGCGAACCAACCAGATATCCTGGATGGGACTGCTCCCGTTGAGGGATCCTTCATGATCAGGATTGTTCGCCCTTCGGTTAGCCATCCTGGGTGAGTCTCATCCTTAAGGAACTGGTTCATTTGTGCTGCTAGGCGCTCATGGAGTGCTCCGAGTTTCTTTAGCCAGTCGGAGTGGACCATATCCAGGCCTGGTGCTGTCCAGTTTTTCATATCTGAGACTCTTTCCTGTTTGTCTGCAAGAGAGGAGCACAGCAACCTCCCTGAACAGAACCCAGTTACCATAACGGTGTCAGACATACAGGTTATTTTTGTCAAATAAGGCAGAACTGAGAAATGCTCAGCTAATGTTTGGTTCTGTTTGGGGTGGTGCGGTGGTTGGGGGGGTTCGGGGGGGCACCACAAAGCATTTATGCTTCGGGCAACAAAATGGCGAGCACTGGCCACACACACACACACACACACACACACACACACACACACACACACACACACACTAAAACACTTACACACACTCATCATGCTTCCCAGAAGCAGTGCAACCATCACATGTCTCAGACATGACAGCAATGAAATGTGGAACCTTCTGGCCCCCTGGAGGTCACAAGAGAAAATGACAGTGAAATCGAAAAACAAATGGTTTCGGGACGATGTTGTTTACTCATACTTGAAATCTACTCTGAAGACATGCATCAGTCTGGTTCTGGCCGGCATGCCAAACGGCTCCAGCAGGTATTGGGACTGCAGGACCACGCCCCGCATCGCCGTCCGCGGTCTGTCGTCATGATCCACCGACACTTACACCAGTGTACACCAGCCTTTAATTGGGTCAGAACGCCAGGACCTGACGGGAAGCATCACCGTGACCACAGAACCTGGCTCGGGCTGAAATCAATCAGCTGGGAAAGCATGAGACTGAGGACAGAAGGGTCCTTGGTTTGCTCCTGGGTTTCAGAATGAAACACACACGAAGGTGTGTTTCCTCTACACAAGTCCTTTGTCAAATGATGTTGATCAGTTTTTCCAGACAAGTCATATGATTGACTGGCAACCAGTCAATTTTTTTGTCCTCGCGTCTGGTGAGTGGACCTGAGAATGACGAAGTCTGTGCGTGGCTGCGGTACCATGTTGTAACAGCAGCACTGGTACATGTCTGTTTGCTTGTCCAGCATTTCCAGAACCTGCTCCTGCTGGAGCTCCATCTGCCATTGGGGGTGCTCTCGCAGTCACTGGTGAAGAACCTCAGGGGCCGTGGCCTCACCTCCGTGCTGACACGCCAACGCTGAAGAGGGTTGCCGTCACCCACCTGAAGGCACGAACACAGCAGCTAAGAGCATGTGTGTTTCAGCAGTCGTACGAGAGCTTTAATGTGAGTGAGATTCACTGTGCGATTATTTTGTTCAAGGTCCTCTTCCCATATATTTTTAAAGGAACACATTATTTAATTAACAAATAAAAAGCGTGTTTGCATCACAGCACTCTTTCTAGTCCAGTGTGCGCCATTAGTATGGATGAAGTGAGAACCTTTTTGTAGGCCAGTTCCATGTGGTCTCTTGCCGGTCGACACATCCACGCTTTGCTTTTGTCTTTGGTCTTCAGCAGGTTGTGGATCAGCTTGTCCGCATAAGAATGGTAGGATCCTTCATCGATCTCCTCGTCTTCTTCGTCCACTTCCTCTCCATCTTCCTCCATGTTATATTGGCGTATCTTACCCAGCTCATCCAGAGGAGGCGCTGAAAACTCAGCTTCCATGTAAGAGTTACGGGACTGGCTGACCATCTCCTCAGGGATCTGTGAGAGGACCATCACGTGAACTCGTAACTGTGTCTTTTGACCGACTGGACCATCCTCAGCCCGCCCATCAACAGACAGAATTAGCTCAGGTTGGAGAGTGTCACACTCAAGCTGTTAAGGTCTGTGGTTGAACCCTGTGTTTTGGCATGTAAGGCACAGAGATTATTTTGTTGTTATGATGACTGCACGACAATGTGTCTTGTGACTCACTGTTGTCACTTTACCGATACCTTCCCATTAATTGACTGGTGAAAAGGCCTACGCCCAACCAACAACAGACTAAAATAGCTCAGTTGGGAGAGCGTTAGACTGAAGATCTAAAGGTCCCTTGTTCAACCCCGGGTTTTGTCATGGAAGGAACAGAATTCATTTCTTTGTTGCGATTGCTGTACTACGCTATGTCCTTTGACTTGCTGTTGTTATTTTGGCCGATAACATCCCATTAATTGACTGGTGAAAGGGCTTAGTTAATGCCAGAAGAGGCTGATAAAGCTCAGTTGGGGGAGCGTTAGACTAAAGATCTAAAGGTCACTAATGCAACCCTGGACTTTGGCATCGAAGGCACAGAAATTGTTTCTTTAATGCAATTACTGCACTACGTTGTGTCCTTTGACTTGCTGTCATTTTGGCCGATAAGATCCCATTAATTGATTGGTGAAAAGGCCTTAGTTAACCTCAAATGAGCCCGAAATAGCTCAGTTGGGAGAGAGTAAGACTGAAGATCTAAAGGTCCCTGGTTCGATCCCGGGTTTCGTCATGTAAGGCAGAGAAATTCTTTCTTGAATGCAATTACTGTACTACGTTGTGTGCTGTGACTCGCTGTTGTGATTTTGGCCTATAAGATCCCATTAATTGACTGGTGAAAAGGCCTGAGGAATCTCCACAAGAGGCTGAAATAGCTCAGTTGGGAGAGTGTTAGACTGAAGATCTGAAAGTCCCTTGTTCAACCCCAGGTTTTGGCATGTAAGGCACAGAATTCATTTCTTTGTTGCGATTGCTGTGCGACGCTGTGTCCTTTGACTTGCTGTTGTGATTTTGGCCGATAACATCCCATTAATTGACTGGTGAAAAGGGCTTAGTTAATGCCAGGAGAGGCTGATAAAGCTCAG